TTCAGCACAAGCTGCGTGAGCGCGACATCGGATTGACGTTTGTCGTAAATTACGATGAATTGTGTCGCCATCTGCTGGTTTAGCGGATCCCGTTTCTTTTTAGAATTACAGATGAACTTTTACAAAGAAAAAAAAAGACGGCTACACATTTTAATGTCTATGTTTGCAATTGATGACGTCATCACAAACATTCATACACTGTAATTAAGGTTAATTTTTTGTCAGTCTCATCTTATTTTCTAAAAATAATACACAATAATACAAGGGCCGAAATATGACGCGCAGGTTCGAGATTTCAACCTTTGGCCCGTGTAGTGTATACTATTTATATTCATACATCGGTCGAAAGTACTTACTTTTGTCCCTAATAGCAGGGACGAAAGTTTAACATTTACTCCCTGTGATATTAGGGACGAAAGTACGTACTTCACGGTGTCCCTGAATAACTTTTAATTGAAAGGTTCAGACGTATCCGATTTTTTTTCATATTTTTATAAAAAAGACAATTTTTTTCAGGATAAACTCAATTCGTTTGGCACTTTTTTTGAAAAATCAATTTTTATAAAAACATTAATGATTTTTAATCAATTTTTTGAGATTTTTAATTAGTGAACTCCAAATAATGACTAACTGTTACAGCTTTTAATGTATTTTAATGTATTTTAATGTATTTGTTACATAAAATGTGCAATTCATTAGACTAGTGAACTATTGACATGTCACTTGTCACTTGTCACATGTCGAAATCGTGATTGAAAATACCGTTGCTTATTTTACTGAAGCTAATAAAAAACCATGCATGGACTCACTCGGATAATCGCAAGAGAATTTGTTTGTTTTGTCTTAAAAAAAAAGAAAAAATGTTTAAAATATATGGAAAGATTCTGGAAAAAGTCCAAAGCACTATTATTTGAGTAGTGAATAAAACGAAAAGGTAAATAAAGAGAAACATTTATTTGGAACAAAAATCTATGACAATTTTCAAAATCGGTGCCTTTTAAAATATAATTTTATATTTGGGCCGTATGGCTGACTTAAGCAAAATGGTTCCTTAAAACGTAAAAGTTTTAGATCAATGCAATGTTTTACTGGCTGTCAACTTGTAAGCAAAGAATTATCTTGAGAATTCATTGGTAATCCATTTTTCTGTTATAAAACATGGGTAATCCCATTGGTAGAGAGGCGTCAGGCGGCTGTATGTCGGGGATTTACCACACGTGTACAAATTTTCCATAATATTAATAAAAATGTAGGTATAGGTTAATATAACAACCATTACGCTTGAAAATAAAAAGTAAATCAAGTGTGTATGTATTTATATTATTAATGTTACCCGACCTACTGCCTTAAAATATTGATATATAATATAGGTCGGGTATGGACATCCTTTTAACATATTGGTATTTATTGAGTATTAAGGCTTAAAGAAAAAGTATAATACTTACCAAAAAATAAGAATGTCTCCTTATGGATTCACCGTAATTAAAATCTAACTGAACAAAAATGCCACACTTCCACAACGCGGTATCTCCGGATATGCACTGCGTAGGTAGATAGGTACCAACCAAACATTTTAAAACGCATTTCGGTTATTATCAGTTTTTTCGGTCTATTTTGCCACTATTGGTGTAATTTAACTTTAATTGTGATACAATGTGCACTAGTAGTGTACATTTTGTCACTATTTAATACATTAAGGGATAATAAACACTCGCATTAAGTTTTTCTACCCTTTTGATTTATTTTAATAATAAATAGTGTGAATGTACCAATGAATAATGTTCATATTCTTTAAATGTCTTTAATAAAGTTAAAAAGCACTAAATGCTACCTAGTGTATTTTGTAGTGTAACTTTTACACTTACAAATCAACTCTAATATTACCTCTACACTAAAAAATTTACACGGGCAAAATTTTTTACTGTGCACACACCGGGTGCGACTAATCAAGGGTTAAGAAGTTAGAAAGTAGATATGCGCAAATTATTTACCCCATTGCAAAACCATTATTTGTCGTTACCGAAGTATTGTCGTCCACGTCAAATTGTTCAAAATAAGCTGCTGACTTTAAAGAAGATTCAGCCCTATTCAGCCAATCGTTATTATACAACTAACTTAAAAATGAAGGAAACATGTTTTTTCTGCACATGTCAGTGGCGGCTTGTGACCTAAATCTGGGGTTACACCCATTTATAGGTGTAGATATTACGAAAGATGTGCAAAGCCAAGATCGCTTTAAAAAATAAATTGGGTCATAAAAATTTAAATTATAAAAATATAAAATTTAAATTAAAAATATGACTCTAATTGCTATTAGGGTTTTAAGTTAATAAAAAATTACCAACCTTATTTAAAGAGGAAATCCATTCGCCGATCTTTTGCAGCAGCAAATTTTTCGATAACCTTTTGGTTAAAATCAGGTATACTTACTTTCAATTAGGTCCCTTTCTTTTGAAAGCATAGCAAGTGCAGAAAGTCTTTCCTGGCTCATGGTGTTTCTTAGAAAGTTTTTTATTCGTTTTAGTGTAGAAAAACACCGTTCTGCTTCAGCTGAAGCCATTGGAATTGTTATTAAAATTTTTAAAAGTTTGAGACTTTCACTAAAAACTTCACAAAGATAGCTGTTGTGAGAAATACAGTCGTAAAGTTGAAGAATAACGGAAATTGTTCTAAATTCTTTTGTTTCATTAATTATATTCAATTCCGTTTAAAGTTTTGGTGCGTCAAAAAAAGTATAAGCTTTAATTGTTTCCTCGAATTTCTGAACAGGAAAACAGTTACTATACCGGCCATAATTTTCTGAAAAAAATAGCCCTGCTGCGACTAAGTGCCCAGTGAAGCTAAATCGCTCTTTGGCTTGACAAATAATAATGACACAAACTTCTTTTGCTTCACGAACAAATACCATATTATCAGGGCGCCTACGTTTAGGCAAAGGCTCCTCAGCTTCACCGTCGTCAAAAAATTCAATAATATTATTTCTAATTTGTGTTATCTGGGCTTCAAATGATACAATATTTTTATTGGCCAGAACAGCATCAATTTCTCTTGTTTGAAATTTACCAAATACAAAATCAACATGTGGCATTATCTTATAAAATACGTTTAGCCAAAAAATAAAACTTTTAAGTATTTGGACAAATCCTGATGCCTGGGTAGTTGTAGCCACATTTCTATGTTTGGTTAAAATTGATTCCACTGTCTCTATTATGGCCTCTCTGTTTTCGAATATTGTGCAAACAACTCTGGAATTAAAATTCCATATTGTCGGAGCCGAGCGCGGTAAACGTTTCTTAACAATTTCATCCAATATTGCGGTTCTTTGAGGACTATTTGAAAAAAAAAGTACAAATTCCTTGTAAATTTGCAAAAAAAATGCGAACATTTTTGTTTGCAGAAACAGCATTTAGCATTACCAAATTTAATTGATGCGCGTAACAGCTGTATGAAAGCAGCATGTTCATAAGTTCTTTTAACAATTGCTTGAACCCCGTTGGACGACCCGCTCATGACTGCTGCTCCATCATACGTTTGAGCAATAAGTTTGTTTTTGTTGTCTTTGACATGTTTTTCAAGTTTTGTAAGAATAACCGAAGACAGGGATTTTGCATCGTGATCTAAAGGTGTTAAAAAATCCCAAAAACGTTCAACTAGCTTTCCTTTTACTATGTATCTAAAAACGATTGCCATTTGAAAAATATTTGACACGTCACTGGTCTCGTCAGCTATCACAGACAAATAATCGACCTCTCTAATTTCTTTAGAAATTTCTTCTTGACAGATACTAAACATTATACATTATAACATTCATTATGTCCTCTTAATGCGAGTTCGAAAGCACCGCAAAAACGTACACAATTAATTATAATGTTTAAAATGTAACGATTATGTCGTACCTACTTGTTTATTGTGCAATTCCACATTTCTTCGATACGCACTGTCTAATAATTATTATGTCTAACAATTATTGTTCTGCAATGTTTACAAGTGTAAATTACACTTCCAAACAAAGAAAACTGCAAAACGTTCTTCATGTGTTTTCCTGACTACATGCTTCTTTATTCGGTCTCCTAAATGGTTTAAATCAGTAAATCCTATTTTTGTCCAAGAATCTTCTCCCCCAAATAACAAGCAGGGAAAACAAAATAAAGAATTTTTTTTATCACAACCACAAATCCACGATTGTTTATTGTATATCTAAATTAAATTTTCTAGTAAAAGACCGGCTTTTACTGGACACACATTGAACTATGTTTAAATTTGGAGTAGGTCTTCCAAGCCTCTTTATATCGATCTTTTCGGCGTAAGACCGACTACCGAACGGATTTTCTAACAAACTTTCAAATTAATTAATCATTATTATTATAAGAAATAGATACAAACAATAATTAAAACGCAGCGGAAATATTAACGCGGCCCGGCAAAAATACGTAACACCGATTCACACAAAATGTTGCATTTATCCTGCAACCACTTTCGATCTAATTAAACCAATGATATTGAACGTAATTTAATCACGTGGTCCCAACACGCCCATTCGAAAGCCTGTAATGGTTTGCGACCTTAAAACAAACCAGTTAGCCTCAACTATTATACGCTAGATGGCGTGGGATTCGGGCATCGATCAAGGAACCGATACGAAGCGCCGAGCGGGAAATTTAAATATTTGCTTGGAAACTATAGTAAGTTATAACAAGAAAGTTACTAAGAAAATAAAAAATATATATTTCGATGATATTATTATAATCATAATTTATTTCTTCCTTCTTGGGTGATTTTTTTGGGGGTTGTGCGAACCTGCAAACCTTAGGTAGAGCCGCCACTGGCACATGTATACATGTAAATTCTGACATGTGACACTCCCTTGTAATGTTTTTAAATTTAATACACTATTAGTTTTTGTTTTGTTTTTTAAATGAATTATGAAAACCCTCTGCCTTCTTTGAGAGTACGATCGACACTGATATAGATTTTTAAGTATTTTGAATAGTAACACATAGTGCTAGTACACATTTATTTCGCTAGTACAAAACTAAGACAAACATGATATTTTTTTAACAGGCTGATTTTCCCGTAATTCCAAAATATTGGATCCCCAAACAGGAAAACTTTTATTTTTAATCATCTCTTCAACAATTCCCAATATTGGTACAGGTCTAGCCACAACTCTGCATCTAGCGATTCGATCGTTTCCACTGCAGTATCCAGCTTTTTTTATTTTCGAACAGTCAAATACATAATAAGGAAGATTTAATTTGTTATTTTGCTGCCAAATTGTAAATGGTTCACTCGAGAAAGCGTAATAACAATGAACCCCAAAATGGGGAATATCTTGTGCTGATGTGTATTCTTGTAAGCTTGTAGAATAGTCAAAATATACCGATGTTTCTTCTACCCGTCCTTTTATCCCCTTTATTTGTTTTTTAATATTACTTATTCTTTCTTCGTTGTCCTTTTCAATCATGCATTTTGCAAATGTGTGGATATCAAAGTTCTTACGAAAATCTATTAATTGTTTATACTTCTTTGGATCGTCAGTGAATATTCCCATTAATCTGCCTCTAGAGAGAGCTAAAATTAACAATTTTAAGTAACTGATACGAAGGTCTTCTTCCCCCAATTCTTGCTCCTCCAACTTTTTTAGCCATGCAGCTGCAAAGTATCTATCTCGAAAACAACGAAGTGATAAAATCAGGGGTTCAGATAATTTTTTATAAAATTTAAATACGTTTATGGAGTCTTTAATATTATTTTTTGTCTTATCCATGGTATTATTTATACTTTAATTTTTCATTGCAATCAAAAATATTAAATTTTAAATGTCAAAATATTTCAAAAATATTTATACACAGTATCCATAATATAACTTAAAACAAATTTCAAATAAAGAGTATTATTACTATTAGATACCTAATATTATTATATAATATTACCTATGGTCTTAGAATAAGTTAAGTTTTTATATTTTATACTTAATTTTTCAAAAATTAAAATGTAAAACCCAAAGTCAAGAATAAAATAAAATAATGAATATTTTAGGTTTTGAAATAAATAAAATTAGCTTTTAAATAATTTTTTCCAATTAATTTTTTTTAAATTAAATTAAATTTATTTTCAAAACTTTTATTATTTTTAATTTAATATTTTGAAATTTATAATTGTAATTTTTTTTAATTTATAGAGAAAGACCGACCCCTGCCATAACAGACCTGTCTGCAGAATAACTTTAGCAAATAATACGGGCCTACGGTTGCCAGGTGTTCGGCTTTAGCCGGACATGTTTGGCTTTTTACGTTCGTGTCCGGCCAAATATTTACATGTCCGGCTTTTTGGATAAATTAACAAAGTGGCTAGAGGCACGTCCACCTTGGACGAACCATAATTCAAGTCCATCGTTCTGATTGGTCAAGTTGGTCATGGTATCTAACGGACGCACAGTGGATCGAGCCCTTATATGTTAGTGGGCATATAGCAATTATGCAAAATTCCTAACTTGATATAATTTTTTTAAAAATGTGCCCCAAAAACTGTTTAATGTACTGTTGTACAGACCCAGTAAGCACCAAACACTCGGCAAACAGTAGGCCTTCGCTCGGCATAGGCGGTTGACCTGCGGTGCGACTTGCCCCAAGTCGTCCCGCTTATGGCCCGCGTTATGTTAGCCCGGTATAGTTTGGCCATGTTCTAACCGAAGTCGGCCATAATACGGCATGCCGCTGCAAAATAGTTCGGCTTGCCCTAGCCGCGGCATAAGCAATACATCTCACGGCTGCTTACGCAAGCGAACTAACTATAAATAGCGATGGGTTGCAATATTTAGTTGGAAGTGTGCGTCTGTAATGGCATAGCTGAATATTAATTGTATGAAGTCCCCATCTCCATCCTCATCTGCTCAGTAACGAATAATGGCTATCTATAGTCGAGTGTGTTAAACCTATAGGATATACCTATTGCCAGGCTGTTGTGGCCGGCACTCGGCCAACTATACACAGCCGACACTCGGCCGAGAAAGCATAGCCGACATTCGGCCAGGCGGACATGCCCGGTCTACACGCCGGAACAAATACATGTGTCGGGACGCACGCGGCCGATTCGGCAAAACGTATTCGGGCCGAATGCGGGCCGGCTAGCTTGTGCTTACTGGGGAGGGCGTTTTTCTCGAATTTTTTTTTTTATTTTCCTTATTAAACTGACTAATAAAAATCTTAACTTCATACATAAACAAAACCATATATATTTTTTATTATTAAATATTAACTAACCATATACCACATAATCACTGTCACAAATAACGTTTTACTATTTTTTTTTATAAAATGTTACTTATTTTCGGGTGTTATCATGGTTCTGTTTTGGGTATTACAAGTACAAAAATTAAACCCTTCACGAAGCCATCCACCCATAGACACGTGAATTTTCCAAATCTTGGATCAATGTATTGTACAAATCACAAAATACCTAGCTAGAAGGTCAAAGCTTGCGACATTGTCAAAAAATACAGGTATATTTCTATACCCGGAATCCAATTTTGTCCCACCTGGGTCAAGGTCAGCTATGTTTCACACTTTTTCATCGAGCGATGTCCCAGAGATGAAAGTGCGATGCACCACACACGAAAGACAAAATCACAACCCACACAAGGCTCTTTGGCAGTTCGCGCAGACTAAAAATCACAAATACTAGCCGCCATATTATTTGTTTACGTTTCAAACGTGTAGATTTTGATTTGGTTTAATTTTGTTCTTGACTTGGTGCCTTATTTGCCTTAATACAGACTTATTAACGTTGAACCAGTTATTTAGTTGTTTATTTGTGTTTTGACTGTACTAGTGTGCCTTTTTGAACCTCAATTGTGCAAATCAGTAAGTAAATTTTAATTCTAAAATATTAGCACGTTTCTTATAACTCTTGGTATAAAAAGGAAAAAATGGTTAGTAAAAAACGGTTAAATTAACTGTTAAAAATATATTTTTAATTTGGAGATTGGAGGTTATATTTTTATAACAAACCATAGAACCTATGAACAAACAAACTATAATATAAAAATAATAATAATATAATAACTATAATTTCGGGGAATTTAAACTACCGGCGCGCAGTGTTTCAATTCTCGAAATTTTCGGCAAAATATCAAGGAGTAGTCGGATTCTCCTAAAAATCCGTATATAATGGTTTTTGGGGTCGCTGATAACGAATCTGGAATCATAATTTCAAAATTCAAAATAATAGATCCAAAATGGCGAACATATTTGTCAAAAAATTGACGGAATAAATTGAAAATCACCATACAGGGTTTTTGTGGTCGCTGATAACGAACCTGGAATCAGAACTCCAAAATTCAAAATGGTAGATCCAAAATGGCGGACATATTTGTCAAAACATTGATGGAATAAATTGAAAATCACCATACAGGGGTTTTTGTGGTCGCTGATAACGAATCTGGAATCAGAATTTCAAAATTCAAAATGCTAGATCCAAAATGGCTGACATATTTGTCAAAAAATTGACGGAATAAATTGTAAACCACCATACAGGGGTTTTTGTGGTCGCTGATAATGAATCTGGAATCAGAATTCCAAAATTCAAAATGGTGGACCTCAAATGGCGGACATTTTTATCAAAAAATTGTAGAAATTAATTAAAAACCCGTAAGAGGTTGTTTTTAAAATGTAAATAAAACATCTTTTTATAAAATAGCTTAATTTAGTTTATTATAATTACATTTATATGATATTATTTAATACTATTATTATAATAATATATTTACATGTTCTAATCACCAGTGGCGGCTGGTGAATTTGGGTACACCGCGATATATCAGTTATTAGACATGGGACCCAAACCAAATTTATATTAGTTCATAATGACAAGTTCTGCGCAAACAGAATTTGAATTAAAGTTTGCAAAAAAGTTGGTTTTGTAGCCTCCGGTCCCCCAAATTAAGATAAATCAAATTAAAGTGGTGCAATATTTAATTCACTGCAGTTTATCGACAAATTTCAAAATTTATTTATACAATTTAAATATAACAGATTTTATACTAAGTATTTTAAATTTTTATTATTTCTTTTACTTAAATTTTAGCAACGATTTCTTAATTCGCTAAAAAAATTGTCAACACAAATAACCACAATTCAAATTTGACATTAACATACTACAATGCGCATGCAGAGTTGTTTTAACGCACCTACAAGAGGTAAGCGGAAGTCCATATGCAAAAAAAAATGTAAAAAAAACCTGACCATGCACGTGGCTGTTTGACCATCCTTTATGTGATTTTTTTGCGTCTTCACCAATCTAATGTAGATTCTGGGGTTTTATCGCAGATCAGCTTATTTGTGTGCTGTGAGCCCCATATTGTCCTCCCAAGGACACTTAAGAAGAAAAAAAATGTCCCTAAAATAGTTCGCATCTATAGGAGTTGCGAAATGCGAGTATTCGTATTTCGCATTTCGCATCTAGTATATGAAACCGCTTTTATGGAATTTTTTGTTATTTGGTTGAATGGCAATGGAAATTTCTGTAATATGCATAATATGAATACCAACCTACATACATAATAAGTATGCTAAAGTTCATTTTTTTTATCTGGACTGCGGCAACGTTGCAAATTTAGGGTTTTGGTTGGTAAATACAGTTGTCAAGTTGGCCGCATTGATTAAAACAAAGTTAGTTAATAAATCTAATTGTGGTTATCAGTGATGCCAACTTGGTGGAATTTCCACTAAATCTGGTGGATTGGGGTTACCATCTAGTGGTGAAATTTGGCAGTTCGTGGTATAGTAGAAAATCTGGTGGAATCATATACCCACAATCCACACAAGTTGTTGTATGGATTGTGCATATACCTATACCTATAGGTATATGGGTGGAAAGGGGTTTTTATGGTAGAAAATCTAGTGGAATGGGGTTTTTAAAGTACAACTAAAAAACATTTGCATGACAAATTTTAAATGGGTAACTTTCCTTATTGTTAGATTCATTTAAATTTTTTTATAAAAATCATCCATCGAGCGGCAGAACCAAACAAGGATTTTGTGTAAAATCCTTGAGAACCAAAGATATGTATATTTATTCTTCTTTTCTAATCTGAACGCAGTACTGGAGATTAAGTAATGGAGAAAATCCTTTCAAGGACTTTGCCTTATCTTTTTCAGTTCTTCCTTATGTTCTGTGTTCTTCCACATTCAGATGCAGAAGTGGAAAGACTTTTTACCCTACAAACAATGACGACATCGTCTTTTATATCGTCTTTCGTATCGTTATTTTTTTTAAACTATTTCACACTAAATTCACATCGCAGCATCTTTTTTGGTCGTAATTGTGCATTGCATTAATACATAATTATGATTTTTAATTATATTTAATCAAAACGTTTTGTTCTTTTTAGCTATGTACATAGCTAAAAAGAACTTCCCTAAGTTTACAACTCGTAGGACGACAGTCTTGTCGATAGAGAAACCTATATCGTTGACGAGATAAGTCCCGATATCGACAAAACAGTCGTCAAAACGACAAACATAACGATATCGTCTTTGACATCGTTTTTCGTACCGATATTTTTTTAAACTATTTTATACTAAATTCAAGTCGCAGCATGTTCCTTGTTCCTAATTTTGCAGTGCATTATGATTTTTATTTATATTTTTATATTTAATAAAAACAAAGCTCTAAAATAGCTTCCCAAATTTGACGACTCGTCTAACGACCCTCTTGTCGACAAAAGGGTCGTCATGACGACAAACAATGACGATATGGTCTTTGACATCGTACGATATCGTCTTGCGTATCGATTTTTTGTTTTAACTATATATATATATATATA